ACACACACACACACACACACACACACACGGAGAGAGAGAGAGATAGAGAGACAAACACACACACACAGTATCGAACCCACAACCTTTTGCGCTGCTAACGCAATGCTCTACCACTGAGCCACAGGAACACTTTTTTAATAAACCTACTGGATGAATCAGCGTTTTTGAACGATTCTCTTGAATAAATGATTCATTCAATTATAAATTTAAGTCACTTTTCGCCACCTAGTGGCGAAACAATGCAATCGACATTCAAAAGCGGATTTGCTCTATTTTGGTTGCGCTACCATAGACATCAGTGTTTATATCTGGATTATAAACTTTCATCCCAGTATTTCTGTGATGATATGAATGACTGTACGACAGAAATAATACTGTGTAGTTGAAAAGACTGTTTGTGAAGCTTTTTCTTAACCAAACATGGTAACTGCTCTTTGTGTGTCAGCAGCAGTGCGAACGCAGGTTTGAATGATCCGGTAAGACTTTGTCAAAGGTTTAACAGACACGGGAGAATCGTTGTCATTTAGAAATGAGATCGTGTGGTTGTCTGAATCGAGATCGCGATCTTTTAACGATTAATCGTGCAGCTCTAGTGGCTACTTTTGATTTATTCGTCCAAAATTGACGAATTCCGTGGCATTCCGCGCTATAGAGTAAATGACGTTTTTATGAATGGACTCCGCGATCTCGTCCGTGTTTTCGCAGAAACCATATGGCCCTAGAAATGTAACCACACTTCACAACATTTCGGCTAGCCCTGTGTGTTGTTTGAACCAGTTGCAGGGGTGACCTCACATCACAGGGTCTCTCTCTTTCTCTCTGTAGCGTATGCGCCCAGATGCGTTCTCAGCTACCGAAATTTGGCACCGATTGATTTAACATGAATCGGTACTCTGTAGTACCAACACAATTCGGTCGGTACCCTTAAAAGTACAGAGTTCGGTACCCAACCCTAGCGCTCGTGGAACACCAGTTGTTTTGCTACATTAATAATATGTGTATATGTATTTACACTATGTTGTGTGTGGTGTAGGTGGTGATGAAGTTGGTCCGCTTGCTTCCTGACGGTCACCGGATGAAGCGGGAGGTCGATCTGGCGTTAGACTCCGTCAGCGAGACCATGACGCCGCTGCACTATCACCTGCGGGAAATCATCATCTGCTCCTACAAACAGGTAGAGGGCGCTCTGTCATCCCATGCACTGATAGATTGTGTGCTTGTGTGTCACTTCAGTCTGTCTGATGCATAAGCTGCACAAAACACCAAGAGCTTTATAAGATTGCTGGTTTACAGTTGTGTTTACTGGCTTGATACTGTGACTGCAGAGGAGTCTAAGAAATAGTTGCTGTAGGTTTGAGAGGTTCGTGACATCAAATCAGTTTACATATTCAGAGTTTTATGTGAGTTTGTTTTAAGATTTTTTTTATTTACTTTTTTTCTATTACTAATTTTCTAATAAATATGCATTTGATCTTAAATCTTTTTTATTTTAAATAATATTTTTAATATAAATATATAATGTAATATTTATTCATTAATAACTGTTTCACATATAACAAAATACTTTTTTAATAAGATTTTATTTTATTCTAAGTATATGCTCTTTTATTTTGTATGTTCTATTATTTATTTTCTAATACTTATTGATTTATTTAAAATAAAACAATACTTTATTTTATCCTTAATATATATTGTACATTACATTTTTATTTTCTACAATTTATTTTCTAATTTATTTATTTAAGTTTTATTTTTTTAAATACAATAAAACAAAATACTACATTTATTTTATTCTAAATATGCATATTTATTTATTTAAATGAAAAGAAGACATTGCTTAATTTTATTTTATTCTAAACATATGCTCCATGTTTTTATCATTTATTTTATTTTTTATTTTATTTTATTTTATTTTATTTTATTTTATTTTATTTTATTTTATTTTATTTTATTTTATTTTATTTTATTTTATTTTATTTTATTTTATTTTATTTTATTTTATTTTATTTTATTTTATTTTATTTTATTTTATTTTATTTTATTTTATTTTATTTTATTTTATTTTATTTTATTTTATTTTATTTTATTTTATTTTATTTTATTTTATTTTATTTTATTTTATTTTATTTTATTTTATTTTATTTTATTTTATTTTATTTTATTTTATTTTATTTTATTTTATTTTATTTTATTTTATTTTATTTTATTTTATTTTATTTTATTTTATTTTATTTTATTTTATTTTATTTTATTTTATTTTATTTTATTTTATTTTATTTTATTTTATTTTATTTTATACAGCAGCTTTGTGTTTTATCTACATCTGTATTCTTGTGTCGTCTCTGGGTGTCCAGTAGATGGTAGCACGTTTCCTCGTTAGATTTCCACAACTACTCCATAATCAGATGCTAATCAACTTCAGCCTCTATTCATACAAGCAGCACAAATGTCAAGAGTCTCCTTGATTTCATCAGAAGGATTCTGGGAAAACCCTCTAGTGTTTGTTTGACGTTTCCTCGTGCATTAAGATCTGCAGTGGGCTGTGAAAGCCTAACGACTGACAGACGCTGTGCTGTGAGCGAGGGGTGTGTGTAATTGTGTTTGTGGGTCAGGACGGTCCCGGGCGTCAGTGTCGCTCTTATGTAAAGCTCAGAGGGGCGGGTTTGTGCAGCGAGAGCCGCTCTCAATGGATCACATTGTCCCGAGCTGCTGTTTTTTCCCTCTGCATTCAGTCATTACAGTACCGGAGCCCGTCTCAGATGAGTGTTTCCCGTGTGGAAAGCGAACACTGATTCTTCTGTTTCTCGTCTCTTTGTTGCTTTAGATAAGCGCTGCTGACGGAGAGCGATTTGTAATTGAAATGATCACAGGATGTTTTTGTGTACAAATGACTGTGTGATGCTGGAAGCGTCTCTGAGAGAGATTGACTTGTTTGAGACCCTTAAAGGGACAGTTCACCTAAAAATTAAAATTCTGTCATCATTTGCTCATCCTCGAGCTGTTTGAGCTTCTTACATGTGTGGAGCATAAAAGACGATGTTTTGAAGAATGTTAGTGACCAGGGCTGCGTTTCCCAAAAGCATCGTAAGCCTAAGTTGATCGTAGCTCAATTGGTTTCATTACGATGCTTTTGGGAAACGCAGCCCAGACCAGTTGCTGGCAGACATTGACTTCCATAGTAGGTTAAAAAAAATACTATGGAAGTCAATGGCTACCGTCAGCTGTTTGGTTTCAAACGTTCTTTAAAATACCTTAAGAAGAAATTCATACAGGTTTGAAACTTAAAGGTGAGTAAATGATGACAGAATTAAAAATTTTGGGTGAACTGTCCCTTTAAGCATATGCTTCTATATTAAGCTTTGTTATACATTTCCATATTTTCCGGAATATAACTATATAAAGAGTTATTTATATAGTGCAATTAACGTTGTGCACACAAAACGTAGATTTGTGCCGAGTGAGCGAGTTTACTTGAGCCTAAGATTATTTGTATAGAGCATTTTCAACACACTTTGCTTTAAATAAATTAGTTTATAATAAATATTGTTTATAATGTCTGTTTTATACTTAACATTTATCTTTCTAATTCTGTTCTAAATACTGCATTTGCTGTGCAGTGAGAGGAACTAAAACACATGTTTGTAAACATTTTATTTTATTTACTGGTATTTTACATTATTTCTGAATTGAATAATAAAATGCATCTTATACGCCAATGCAACTTAATTATTATTTTTTTTCTCTCAACAATGCAGTTTTGGCCCGGTGTGACTTATTTTCCGGATAATATTGTATATCTGTGAAATAATCTGTGCTAATGATCCAAAATTCTGATTTGAATATCGACAGGCATTTTTCACTTTTTCTATTATTCTGATATCAAACCATAGAAATGTCAATATTTTGGCACTCTCTTGACTCTCTTCACTCTCTTATTGGTCTGCGGTATTTTTTTTTTAAAGCCGTCATGAAATGAAAATCTATTTTCTAAATGTTTGTTACAGATCTTATTGTGAAGATCTTTATGCATGCATATGATTCTGTTGTTGTCATTTTTTTGACTTGGTAATGCTTAATCAAATTTAATTTTCATAATCCATTACACTCAGATATACTATATCATAATATGGATGAAAAGATCTGTCTTTACTTCCGTTTCATCATGACTTTAACATCATGAGACAACACCTTTTAATCAGGACAAACTTAGAAATACGTTTTTTGGACCTAGGAAATCCTTTATAGTGTTTTCATGCTGTGCTGAATTTGATCAAATGTTTGATTATTTTCTGTAATAATTAATTAATAATTCAACTTTTTCAGAACCCGGCCCTAAATGGAACATAAATACAATCAAACTGTCACTGGTTGATTTATATGTCAATCACTGGACCGTTTTTGGTCAAAAAAGGTAGTTAGGTCAGGCTTCATGAGTTTATGGGTTTAATATTCATTAATTTGTCAGTACGTGAAGGTATTCAGATGTTTCTAAATATGTTTGTTTGCATTTGGCACAGTTTTTGCCTTGTTTTCTGGCTGCCGTTGAACATCTGATCACGTTTTGCATCACACTGTTTCCATGGCAACCGCATCCCACTCTGGACCACTGACATTAGCTTCGGTTCTTGTGCGGTTTGTTTGATTACAATGCAAACTTTCAGACAGCTTTGATGCACACAAGCCTCATAATTTTAGTTCATATCACTTCTGTCTGTACAACACGTGTCTGATGGATTATCTGAAAGTGCTTCCTTTGCACTATTTATTTTAATTGAAAGACTGTTTTGTTCTGCGCATATTGCTCTAGTCAGACTGATTCTGGCTTCAGGTTCCCATCCGACGCTGCAGCCAAATCATATAGTGAGTCGAAGCCGAAAAACCCAATGAAATATTCCAGTAAACGTGGAGGAAATGTAAAACAGTGCCTAAAGAAAGGCCTTCATGGTTTGGAAGGCGGTGTGGAAAAATATTTGCAGAAGGAAGAGAATGTAGAGAGTAGCGACGTCACGAGAGAGAGGGATGGAGCCGATCCAGACGGTGGAAATTTAGGAGAGACCACCGCACAAAAAGACCCTGACGGAAAACGTGTGTGTGTTGAGGGACGGCAGCCAAAATCATTCGACCAGAACAATTCGAGCTGTCCGTCTGAGCGCACATGTGCCGAGACAGATTTTGGTTTTGCTTTGTGCTGATATCTGACACGCTTTGAATCTTGTTGCATGTGTGTAGAGAGCTAAAATGCCAAAACCTGAGCGTGCAATTAAAAATAGTTATTTTTGGAATTTAGAAGTCCTGGTTAATCTCCATACATAAATTACAAGACATTTCTGTAGCAGTGATATAAATGTATTTTCTCAGTTCTGGAAAAGGCATGGAAATGTAATGGACGATTTGGAAACCCTCATACAGTAGATGAGATTTTAAAAGCGCTGTAAGCACTAGAAGATCATAAAAACACAGTCTTAGAAATCTAACAATATTTTTAGGACTAAATCCAAACATATTTGACTTCTGATCATCTGATGTACACTGAAACACTCGTATCTTATTACTTCGTGAGTAATTTCATTGTGAGTACTACGAAGTCTTTTTTGTCAAAAATGATATATACATATTATTAAAAGAGTAAATATATGCATATGCATGGGTGACATTTGACTCTTGAGTCGGGGGGCAAGAAAAAAGTACAGTCATTGGAAGTACAGTATGCATCAAATATGCTCTACCATGCATCAAAGCAGAATAGAATTAATCAAGAATTACTTGGAGGTTGCCTGCGTTTACTAAACTGTGGAGCTTTGACTCTAGTTGCTGATTTGAATTGTGATGCTTCCCGATTTAAGTGGCCTTTTTTTTTTTTTACCAGAAATGTGCATGCTTTTCTGATGTTCGTTTCAGTTTTCAGTGTTTTTTCCTTTATCAATTCAAATGTGTTCGTTTTGAATCGTTGCTACTAAAGGTGAGACACGTGAGGAAAAAGAAAACGATCAGTTGTGGGACTATTCGGTGTTAAATTGCATACCGTTTTTTTCAAAGGCATTTTTGGTCCTGTCCATTGCTTTGGTTATCACTGTGTCAATCACTGATATTTCGAGAATGAATCCAGCATAAATATGCAGATGTCATTCCCTGAAACGTTGCAACATGTATGTGTCCGAAAAACGAAAGTTTCAT